TACATGACACAGAGGCAAGTAGCGCTGCTCTCAAGATGAAACACCTTGGATGAGTACTGGTCGTGCGTGCCATGGAATCAATCTGCCATCAGCTTCATTCTCGTATCCCTCAAAAGAGTGGCAATCAGCAAGATGCCAGTGAATGAATGCTGTTGGAACATGACACTATTCAAGCTTTCTCCAATCGCTAAATCTCTCTGAGCGGATGAGTTTTGACTTTTGAAACGTGGGTTTTGAATTTTTTTGGGGAGAGGTAATGGGAAAGGGTGGAGGGGGGGAGGGGGGAGGGACGAGGGGTGTAAAGCTGACAAAACTAACTTGTTTGACGACGTCAGAAAACTGACCAAAATCTTGGCGCATTGTGCACGTTCACTTCCGCTACGAGTGAACCACGAAAGAAGAAAATCTGAAGTCGCTGAAGCAGTTACGTGTGATGCCTGTGCTATCCATAACGCTGACATCAAAGTTTTTTCGATGTCTTCTGATATCTGCTAAAAACAAAAATCCACTTAAAATCCTTTCTGCAATTTGCTTTTTCCTTTTCTCTCATTCCCCTCTCCCTGTGCTCTCCTCCCCCTCCACTATTACCCTTAAAAAAATAAGAAAATACGCCTCAGTGTGCCATATAAAAATGCCTTTAGCATTTAGTGTTTAGCACCCCGGCATATATCAGTACTTTTGTTTCTAAGTATCGACATCGGCATTCTTGCCGTCGGTAGTTGCTGCTGGCATTTGCTACCACTTGGGCTATTTCCCTAGTATCTCTACCTTTCTCGGAAGTGAACACAGAGTGGTTTCCACTTCTGATCAGCTGCATGTAGAAGATGTGCCAGGAAAATTTCGTTAAAAACTGATGAAAAAAATAACCTGATCACATTTTAATGCAGGAATAACAGAAGCGAGAAGTGCCCATTTTAACTTCACAGCAGAAGGTAACGAAAGCAACCAAATGAACTGCTAAAATGGAAAAAATGAAAGGTATGAACGAATGAAGAATTTATTGGGAGATAATTAACGGAAAAGAATATTAGACTTTAAAGTTTCAAATGATGAAATATGTTGGCCAAATATCCCTACTTTTCTGCAGCAAAGATACC